TATTTATAACGACCGCTTGATTGGAAAAAAAATCAAACGACGAAATTTTTATCCATTAGAAAATCATACTTATTATTATTATTAATTTTGTTCACTTTCAATTTTCCAGACTAGTTTATACATAAATTGTCAATTGATGTATAAAGACATCAATTTATGTATTTAAATTCAGTTATATAATGGAAAGACGTTTTCGAATGAAGATTAAATTATTATAAATAAATTCATATGATCGTTTATGTAAAACTACTGCTGTATTCTTGTACTGCATTAATTATAAGCGCAGAAAATAGTTTTTTTTTATAGGCTGTAGCTGTCACAAATATAATATTATTATAATATGGGTATACCCTAATTTGTATGAGTTATTTTTTTAATGTGCATAATATCTTAAATTGGAGTAATATTAACAACTTAACTTGATTTTAAAATAGTTTATGTTAGTATAATCAATCATCATTATAATTGTCATGTTCTATTACCGTGTAAATCTAAAAATATAAATTTTAATAGACATGATGTTTTATGTAAATTAAAAACACAAAGTTTTGTGCTTACAAACATTATATTATCAAAAACCAGATATATATATATATAATAAATATTTTTTTTTTTTTGATAGTCAAGTTCGTTGTAAGGAATAACGGTTTTTAAAGTTTTTAAGGATGCATTTTAATATTAAAAAAAAATAATGCTATGGTAGAAAAAGTGACACCAAACTTTATACTCGTCACAAGCTCTACAGATTTTTTTTACAAGTCTTAAAAACTAAACAAGGTTTCAACAATCAAAATAAGGTTTAAAATAGTACTGATTATAATTATCATTAATTACAATTAAATAGTAGAGTTAAGTTATGCCTTTTGGTACAATATAAAATATTGTTCCTGATGTTATATTGTGATAAAAGAACTTAACTTAAAACAATTTTTAGTTGAAGTTTTTTTTAAGTTTAAACTCGGTTAAAATAATAAAGATTTACATTATTAATAATTTTAAGCAACATTTGTGTTAGTTCTAACACAAAGTAAATTTTGACTTGATGATGTTTTCAATTAAAATAATTGTATGATAAATTATACAAATTACACAAAGACATTATTGCTTACTTCCCTAATTATGGATTCAAGGTAAAATTAAGTTTATTAACAACTAATTTGAGATTATAGCGAAATATACTGAAATAACAAAATAATTTTTAAATGTATTTAAAAAAAAAAAAAATTATGGTAGACGTTTTATTTATAAACTTTATAATACCTAATAATAATTAACATATATAGTAAATAGTTAAAAACTAAATGAATAACTAAAATTATAATAAACACTGACTATTTAATGGCAATGCAATCGTACACAAAAAAAATATGTGTGACATTAGGTAGTGAAAGAAATGAGACTATTTATTTTTTAGTTAAAAAATTGTTTTTAAGTATAATATAGCTTAACTAATTTTGTTTCTAAAAAAGATGACTAAATCTAGTATGTTCTAAACTTTCTTCGGTTCCAACTTTCAACTTAAATCGACCTTCTTCAATGAACTTTTTAGATAACATATTATTATTTACTTTTTTTCAAAAGTATTAGTAGTTTTAAGTTTAAATATGTGTATATTTTTCTTGATTTTAAAGCCGATCCCCATTGCCATTGTAAATCTTGTTTAAAAATTTTTTGCATTAAAAAGTACTTATTGGGTATGACTTCTGATCTATAGACTTGTTTTGGGTACACAAAAATAAATAAAAGCACTTGAGTGTATCTAAAGCCAACACATTTTTAGGTTTACATCAATGCAAAACAGCATTTATCGGTATTTAAAAAAAAAACTTAAATATCGATAAAAGTGTTGTAATGAATGCTTAATATTATATTATTTTAATTATAAGAGTGGATAAGATTAAGGTTGATCTGAATTAACAATATAATAAAAATATTTTTCAAATATCTGTTGACTGTTGATTCACTCACACATTGCAACCCAGAAATAATGAGTTTTACAACTAGTTAATTGTCTATTTATGTACTTTCAATTATTGCTTACACAAAAGATACTTGTCACCTAATTATTGGTAAACGTTTCAGAATTATACCCACTTTTGAAAAGTGCGAGAATATCAAAGAACTTTGGCAAAATTAATTTCTTTTAAGCTTTGATCAAAGAAATAATCAACAATACTTAATTAAAAATAATTCATCCGACCGCAATTTATTTATTCATTTTTTATTGTTCGCCTTTATGATACAACATATTAGGACTATTTTAGTTATAAACAACGGATAAGAATAATTTTAAATACCATTAATAAATTTTAACTATGCTGATGGATTTTATATTTTTGTTCAAACTAATCTTTTTAATAATCTTGATTTTAGTGTACCTATATTAGCAATTAATTGGATTTAATTACAGTTAAGATCCAGGAACGTGGCAAAATAACACGTGGAATTAAAAAAAAACCTCGCAATACACTTTGAGCTTATTGCAGTTTATTAATTTTAACAAACCTAATAGTTTTGATTCAATTATTGCTGATAGATTTGTTTCGACTAATCGATTGATGAATTATGATCAAACACTTAGCCGATTACATTTCGGTCCATTAATGACGAAGGTTGAAAATTTGTTCACATTATGAAATACAACACATACATAATATTATAATAATTATTCAAAACAACGATTACAGTGTAGAGCCGATAACATTAAATATTACAATAATTATTGAAATATTTAGTGTGGTTAATCAGTTATTGATAGATATGATAAATTCATTTAAAATTTAGCAATTAATGCCTAACGCATCTAGCTATGCAGTTTTTTTTAAATACCTAAAATAACATTTTTTAACTATTTACTATACATATTTTATGTTAATTATTATAATTATAAATTGTATAAATTAAATGTAAAATAACATTTTACCCTTTAACGCGCAGATCTTAAATTAAAATTAAAGCCACTTTTTTATCAATATAAAAACAGCTGTAAAATTAATTTGTTTTTGGTTATGTTTATCAATATCGATAACATATTATCAATGTAACCGTATTATAATCGTGATTATCAAAAGTGGCTTGTACACGTGCCACTGATTCATAAAAATAGTTGTAATTTCAAGTTTTATGTTAATATCAGTGATTTTATGACTGTCGGTTTTTACTAAGCAAAACAATTCAAATAATTACACAGTTTAGTTCTTTATAAAATGTTATAGTAAATTAAAATTATTAAATTATACATCATTGAAATCGTTATATTCTGTAGTTTTTAGCAGTATATTATTTATCAATGTAACTTTATGCGCAAAGAAGATTTAGGAGCACAAACGGTTTAAATCTATAGATCCCAAAAATGTGGGTGATCCATCTAACTGTAAGACACTCATTTTCTCTGAACTTTATGCTAAGTAGAGTAATTTTCATTGAATGGTTGCGATTGAATTTCATTTAATGATACATCGACACTTCTACAATTATGTAGGTATAAAATAAGTACATAATCAATCTAAGTCAAGGAAAATGCATAGCCCTTTATAGTTTAGTGGCATCTATTTCTTCAGCCACCATCTACAGGACTTAATTTTAAAGTTACACTGTTGTTCAAATATGTTAAAAATAAGTAGTAGAATGGTAATAGTATTCTAAAAGAACGTTTTAATGAAAAAAATAATTCTGCCCATCTAGGGTATTTTTACAAGTGGCCTTCATATATGCCACAGCCGAACCATTAAAATAATTCTGCGCGTCTGCCGTACGAATAAAAGTGGTTTTCATAGAGGCCACTTTAACACATAAAGGGTTAAAAACGATTTTATTATTTCAGTATATTTCGCTATGATCTCAAATTAGTTATTAATAAACTTAATTGTATGCAATGTGAACTTAATTATACCTCGAATTTGGATATAATGTACTCACTGTATAGATTGTAAATATATTTTTAGATAATAAAAAAAAAAAAAAAACTAAATACTATAGTTATTTTATCAATATTATCTCGGCGATAGCTTTAATTTTATTATAACTTATCATGTATAGCTAATTTTTATTAACTTAAGACTAACGCTGTTGAAGAGGTAACTTTAACGGTATTTTTAATCGGGACGGACATTCAAAGTAGACTAATCAAGTAAGCCCCAGTTGTAATTATTTTAATTGAAAATTAAAGTTGACACTACGATTTTTGTTTGTTCAGAGTGTACAAAAGATACCATAATTAATATATTATGTGTACGTGTGGTGTGAAGGGTTGGGACACATTAAGAGGCGTGAAACCCCTTAAACTACCGGTCATTATTATAATGTAATGAGGATTTGCCATCGTAAATCTAAGACCTAAGCCGAACACATTTTACTGGCAGACAACATTAGGCTAGCACCAAATGCTTAACACATTACAACGTCACGTTTTTATTTATTTATTTTTTTTAGCTGTATTTCGCAGGAAACAATAATTAGTTTCAATATTTACACAATTAATTTGTTAAAATGAATTGTACGTTGTTGAGTTTGAATGAAATAGCATCCGAGTACATTTTTATAATGTCAACGACTTCAAGAATAATTATTATCTAAAACTGGTTATCGACCGCAGTTGACAATTTCAGCAAATCATTGTCACGTCAGACCGCAAACAATTGCAATCGTTAGAAAACGAGCGTCTTGTTTTCTAATGCGAATCGCCCTGTATGCATTGGTTTAGATCTTCAACTGAGATTTGCCAAAAATGGCAAATTGGCTTGGATGAATTTGCCATCTGTATACATCACACCGAACGTGGTCGTGTAGGCATTGCTACATTGTTAATATTATTTGAATTTTTGTACGTTTTCGTTGGAATGGTGTCTCGATTGGCGATCGCACCGCGTTTAAACCTAAACAAATGGTAGCCACGACGACAGTGAGTTTAAAAAAACTGCATATAGGGTGTACCATGTGCCTCCGGCGTTTCTAAGCGAAATCGTTTGGCGCGTTCCGGTCAGTTGTCTGATAACCGGAGAATACACACGCGGTAGTTTCGATGCTCAGTTTACACGGCTCGGTTATACCGCGTTGCCGATTCAATATAGGTTTGAAATAATATATTATTATTATTATTATTATCGTCGTATATTGAAGGTGTGCGAACGAGATCGTCCGAAGACGTCCGCCGTCCTGGAACGTGGATAGAAATAGTGCGGCAATTTTTGAAATCTGCAAATTTTTTTCCTTCTACCGACGGGGCCGTCTGTCCGCGCTTTCGCAGCAAGACCACCCTATTATTAGAATACCGTCGTGTTAGGCGTACCGCGGTTAGCGCCTGAAAAGTGAGTACCTGACTAAAATAAAAAATTATATTTTGAAAAAAAAACTACACGGGAAGACCCGCTTTGGCCTCTTCCAATTTGTATTTAAATATTGCAAATAGCTTGTAAATTATTAAAATACATTTTTGTTCCTAATTTTATAAAAGTTTTGAATAGAAACACACTTGTTATTTGTTTCAAAATATCTGTTAAACTAAAAAAAAAAAAAATACACTTCAAACCGTAATTTACTAAATGTTTCAAAAATAATAAATTTATTTTTAAAATGAATATTTTGTAAATTAAAATATGTTTGATATTTAAAATGAAAAAAAAAAAATCTTTTGCTGTGTGTGATTATTATAAAATTGAATAAATAAATAAAAAAATTATTATTCAAGGAATGGTTTGGTTACACAATCTTACTTATTTACACCTACGGCGAATGTTTAACGTTGTTTTGATTGGAATAAAAAACAAACTAAAAAAAAAAAAATATTATCAACTTACTACTTGTTTCTAAAATTTGACTATGGCAATTTTTGTGTGAACACAGATTTATTTAAGTTACTAATTTAAAATGTATCTAAAATTATTATTACATGGATCTTGTGATTCAAATAAAAATAAAATTATATTTAATATTCGAGATTTCTTAAAGTTACATTTTTATTTTCAAAATTTATTTGATTTTTTGTTTATTAAAATAATGCCCACGTCTGTTTACCTTTGATAATATAATACTTCCAACTGTTAAACATAATATGAAATTATTATAACCTAGAATGACGTTTTTCGACTAAAATTTGATTTATAATGTTTCGTCGTTTTATAAAGATATATTGAAGACAGCTAATGAGAATTCTCATAATTTTTGTTTGTAAAATCGTATGCAAAAAAATCCTGTCAAACTACAATTTTGTGTAAGTAGTAACAAGTTACCATCGACTGGAAAACGTATTTAGTTAAAAAGATATTGTGATAATATAGGCATTAGTTAAATAAATAAAATTACTAAATCGAGAACAACTAATTATTTTCAGTAATTAGTGGATTAAATTTAATTATTGTGTATTGCATCTTATTTGAGCTAATTTAATTTTAAAATATTCGCTTTTGGTCAAGTAAAAAATAACCATATTAAGTTTTGTAGGAGTCATAATATGAATGTCTATGATATTTTTTTTGACTCAACACAAATTTGATAGTTATTTAGTTTAAAAATTATCGCTTAGCTACATCAATGTAATAATGTTATAAACATTATAAAAAACATGTTTGAAAATTAAATAAGATGTTCTACTAATTTTGGATAAAAACCAAAAAGTCTCATTATATGTCATTGAATTTTTGATAAATGGCTTATAATTATAATGTTAACTGTTTTAAAAATTAATATTTTAAAATTTTTCTATTTTAGAAACAGTATTTTGCATATTTTAGCATATTTGGCGGGTTGAGTTTGTTATCTTGATATCATCTTATTTGGACATATTCTCTTCATTTTTTTAATTGTTTCTAGATATTTTTAGTTAATTACCTTAGCGACGGTGACTGGTAAAAATATTAATTTTACATTTTCATTTAGCGCTTGTTTACGAATACAAATACAGAGAGCTAATAATAATAATCATTAATATGTCTTTGCTTGAATGCAGTGTTGAAATGATATTAGTTTTGACAGTTAATAATTGAAAATTAATTCAAATGGATTCTACAAAATCGTGTAATTGACAAAAAATTAAAATAGTTCAAAAAACAATTGTTATAGTTATACAACGGTTAAAAAAAATTATTAATTATTTAAATTATGTGTAAATGTATTACCTAGGCTGGAACGATCGGATGTTACTTAATCCTTAGGATAAGGTCAGGTAAGGTTTATATTTATAGAAAGATTTATCTTTTTTGGGCGATTTTCTTGATTTGTATATATGTATATAGAACTTGTTCAATTTTTGGCCTTATAAAGCTTCTTTTGCATGCGATTATGCTGGCCTGATCTGTAGCATATTGGAATAATATGTAGGTTTATTGAAGGGGGGATAAGAAGAAGTGAAATATATAAAACTTTTGAAAATGTTTTAATGAAAAGATAAACTGAACTGAATCACCTATATTAATATTCTTAGAGAGTAATTTTGATATATATAATTTGTATGGGTTTATTGATTTAAAATTACTTCAGGGCATATTTTTTAATAGTATTTGTTTGAATAAATTATAAAAATATTGCTCATTTATATATACTTACATTAAAATGTTTAATTACACGTGTACGACGTGACTGCAAAGTTAAAATTATTATCATCCAAGTAACGTTTTAATGCGGCCTTTTGTACTTAAGCACCCTTTTTAAGACGGGACATTTTAGCTGAGGACTAAAAATGTGTTTGTTTTAGAAATGTGCTTTTATATACACAGAGTAGAAAATTTACTAAAAATGGCGCATACGGATTGCATGTAATTTATTTGATTGCACGAATACAAATAAGAGTAAACACGATCGTTCAGAACTGCTAAGCATATTTCTGGCTAACCCGTGTGCTTTGGAGAATGAAATTAACTGTGGCAAAAAACAATTCCCTAGGCCCAAACCGTAATCTAGTCATTTTTTTTTTTTAGTGGTTTATGTTGTTGTAAACTTGCTGGGCACAATGAGATGTATGATTATAATATTTTAAACGTTGACTTTTTCCTACGTTTAGTTTTTACTATTTATGCATAATCAAACCCTCGAATTCAAACCTTTCATTCACTTGGGGAACTTTCAAATTTGTGCTGTAAAGTGGTTTTACCCCAATGGCACCCTTCAAGTGTTAATTAACCATTACATTCTTGTAACAAAAATAAATATTATGTACTTGATTGTATATCACTTTTGTAATGCGACTGATGTTAATTTAAACGCAATCCTTTAGTCGACAATTTTACGCAGATTAAAAATCAAACGTGTAACAATAATTATTGAGATTTGTCGTTTAATTTCGCTTGAAAGTAATTACGGTATAATTACAAACAGACGATAATGAAACGAGATGTTTGTGGCCTATACTTTGTTGTGTATAGACACAATGAATTGCAATGATTTGCACTGTAGTCAACATCTCACGGGCAAATAAAACGTTATTAATTAAAACCAACTCGATAACGTTTAAATTAATTTTCTCACATTAGAATATTATTATCATCTTTTTTATCTGTTATTTTGATCGCATCAGCATACGGCCTACACACAAGCAGCACACGGTACATCTAAAAAAGTATGAATTTATGAGGTATATGGAATATTGCACTTTAATCCATGTTTTTCAACAAGTCTATTAAGAGTGATAGTAGTATTAATTATTTTAGAAATAACAAATAATGAGATACTCCAAATAGTTGTGATGGAGGCTAAGGAGAAGAAGAACCGTATTGTGTGTAACTTTCGTTAGTAATTATTGAGCATATTATTTAGAGATAAATATTTTTTCAAGAATAATGTTTTTCATATTTTGTAATTAAAAATATATTGTTTTGTCTACATATAAGAGGGGGCACAAAAATAACAGCTGTAGATTTGGTGTTTGCGCCGTACCTCTATACTATAATATTACAGTGGTTCTTGTAACAATATGAATATATAATTTACAACATGTTGAATAATGTTTTATCATTAAAATATTATAATGTAATTAAATTGTAATACGGCAATATTGGCGAATGAGATAATACACATGTGAACTATCAAACTGTTCGGGACAAAAAAACTTAATAATATGTATAGAAAAAATATAAATATAAGTTCTAAGAAAGGTGTTTGGGGGGGAAATGAATGATAATAATTAAAAGGGTACTTATGTGTTTTGGAAGGCGAACCCGTTAAGTTAGACGGAAAAAGTTAATTAAGAAAACATATTTGAGTAGTATTCACGTCTTAGATAATCTTCTACGATTAGAGATTTGCTGAATGAAATCTGTCCCGGTAAATTAATGAAAGGATTCGGTGAAAGTAATACATAATGATCAGCATAAAGATAAATGCGAATATTTGATTTACATTTAGATTCAGTTTATCAGAGCTTTGAAAGTTTCCACGTTAGCGTGAAAACCGACCGAGCAAGAAGCGAACGAAGCAATTTAACGAGCAGGAAGACTAGACAGAGTTTATATATTATTAACGTTTGCCAATTTTAATATATTTTTAAAAAATATAACCTCGTCCCTTTTGTGGTAAAACCGTATGAATTTTTTTTTATTTAAAAAAGTTAAGGTAAACAAATTTTAAAATGTTAAATATCTTTAAAGAACTTGACTGGGCCATAGTTAACCAATCACTCTGTATAGTCGGTTAATTATTATTATATAATATATTATTATCATTATACTATAGTGTAATCGGTTTATTATAGATAAAAAGCGAGAGAAGATCTATAGGATGGCTGGCAACAAGTGGTCAGTGACCACATATGTGTAGTTAGAATGAGGCGCAGATGAAAGGGAATAATAATTGCATAATTATGGCATACACATTATTGTCTATCTAATTGTATTGTTTTTTATCACCCGAGTGACCTTGGGTTGGGTTTTGTAAAAACTATGTTCAATAAATTGTTAGTTATTCTTTGGTGTTCCGTTTTTTGTTTTTTTCGAATAACTACCATAACAACTGACCTACCAAACGTGTTATTACTGTAAATACATTTGGGAATTAAAGTCTTCCTAGGTCGTGTGTGTGTGTGTAATCGATTCGAGTTATAATTCTAGGCATTATATTGACATTAATAGCCGACACTATTACCCGCACTGTTATCCTGAATAGAAAAAAAACTAATCATTCTGCTGGATGAGTCGGTCATAGATTAAAAAATAATTATAATGTCTAGGTTTTGAGAAAAGAAAAATAACCAATTCCGGGTTGAATATACATACTATGTTATTCTTTATAACATAATATTAAGTTATCCACGGGTTCCACTTTTCTCGGCAACATAATGATTTTATACCTCTTACAAAACACTAATCCGCAAGTATGAGAT